TTTGTTTTTTTTTTTTTTTTTTTTTTTCCCTCTCTCCCTATCATTACTTCTTAAAAAACAACATATGGACTGTTTTCCATAAGATGGATGGTGGGAAAATGTCGACAAACAATGATGAAGACGACGCTTACAATAGTACTAAATTGCACGAGCTCAGAGCCGAGAAGATGAAGGGATCGACCCGATTGACCCTTTTCTACCTAGACACGGAACTGAGATTGAGTAACTAAAGGAAAAATTGAGTGATAAGAGAATCAAAACGAAATAAGCAAAAAGTTTAAGCACTAAAACGAAAGAATAATAACAGATTCTTTCATCTAAAGTTGCAGCTGGGGACTTTTATATATTCTCCCATTCACTTCTTTGGGGTAAGGAGGCCATAAAAATGGATACCAAAAGTGAATGTTGCTGTTGCAAGATCAAGAACAACCACACAAAACTCACTCCCTTCAAATGCAAATGTATCAAGTTCAAACCTTCTTCTTCTTCCTCCTCCTCCGATGCCGGGGCACTGCACACGAGTCGGGATGATGAATCGGGGACAGAAATGGGTCTCCGGCCACCACCTTCCCCGATGAAAAGCCTCTCCTCCTCTGCGTCGGACGCGGGGCTGAGGAAGCGAGCTCTCCTATGTGGGGTGAGTTACAAGAATTGGAAGCATAGGCTACATGGGACAGTGAATGATGTGTTGAATATGCAAGATTTGTTGATCAACCATTTCTCATATCTCAAACAAAACATTCGTATTCTTACAGGTTTTACATCATCCACCCTTCTTATAAACATATGTCTTCTTGTTTTCTGGGTTTTTAAGAAACATTTATTTATTCCTTAAATAAAATTTTCAAAATTATTATATAATTTTAAGCGTGTTCTATAATTACCCAAAAAGTTATTGAATCGAACCAACTCGAATTTATTGTTAATTTTAAAAATTATATTTTTGTTTCGATACAATTATATTTACATATATTTATTTTATTTTTACTTAACTCCATAATTATTTTGATTATTTATTCTCAACTAATATATATCGAGTTGTAAATAAATAGATATATATTTTATGATGTAACCTTGATTTTTATTAAATACCAAACCTAAAACAACCCAATTTAAAAATAAATTATGGTTGAATTTATTATTTAATAAAAAAAATTCAGTATTAAAAGAATTTTAAAAAAAATTGACCCATTTCTCTAAATTTCATATTCTTAAATTTTGAATTTTGAAATTTTCATTAATATTTTTAATTTTTAAAAATAAAAAACTTTAAAAATATTCGTACTAAAAATATTTTTATTAATAATATAAGTTTCAAAAATACTCTGAAACTTTTTCGATTCATATTAAAAAAATAATAATAAAATTTTTATATTATTAAGAGTGGGTGAAATTTTTATTTTGAAAATTTAAAAGTTAAGGAATATTTTTTAAATAAATGGTATTCTTAAAAATAATAATGATGATATTATTTAAATTTATGATTTTTTTTTTATTTTTTAAAGGAAAGGACAAAATATTTAGGTATTTTTTATTAATTTTACTTTTAATGAAGATCATTAAGAACCCTAACATTTTGGAACCGCGGCAACAAACAATGTAGAAAACGAAGCAAATCCAGAGCGAATTCCAACGAAGAAGAACATTCAGAGCAGTCTAAAATGGCTAGTGGAGGATTGCTACGGAGGCGAAAGCCTGGTGTTCTATTTCTCCGGCCACGGATTGCGGCAGCCGGATTTCGCAATGGACGAACTCGACGGCTACGACGAGACCATATGCCCTGTCGATTTCTTGGAGGAAGGAATGATTAGCGACAACGAAATCAACGCCACCATTGTTTCGCCTCTCAGAAGTGGCGTCAATCTCCACGCCATTGTAGACGCTTGCCACAGCGGAACCATTCTGGATCTCGCCTATGTTTACGATCGCACCAGGTTTGAATCGATTCCTCTGTTTCTTTTTTTGTGTTTGGATCTGGATTTGAATTTTGGAGTGTGAGGTTTTTGGATGGTGGAAGGGATGAGTGGATCGATAATCGGCCGCCGTCGGGGGCGAGTAAGGCGACTAGCGGCGGATTGGCGATTTCTTTGAGTGCCTGTGGAGATGATCAGTTCGCTGCTGATACTTCTGTAAGACATCATCTCCCACATTTATTAAATATAAATTTTATATTTTATAATTTAATAAATTTCACCTTAGTTTTTATAAAACGTGATTGAATTGAAGAATTGTTTGATAAAAAAATATATATATTCTTAAAATTTAAGGATTTATTATCACAAAATTGGAAATTAAAAAACTAACTAACAATTTTATTTTATTTTTAATGTTTAAGAATGGACTAAATTTATAAATTATTTTTTTAATAAAATTATTTGCACACATGTAAGTTTTTCTAAAAATGAGAATTGAAAATAATGGTAATTTTAAAAAGCTTCGTCGATAATTTTTAGTATTTTTTTAATTTAGTCGTTAAAATGTTTACTAGAAGAGGATACAAATTTTTTTACTTCAATAATGTGAGAATTATATAAATAGAGATATCCATCTTAGAGACGTGCCCTGTATAGGGAGTGGAGGAAGGAGTGGAGAAAAAAAAAATTCTTCGTAAGATAAATGAAAAAATCATCCAGCGGAAACTCAATCCCCATATTCTCTGTCAAGAACCCCGATCCTTGCAAAAAAAAAAGAAAAAAGAATGGAGCATTTCGTGAGAATGGGCACGGAGAAGGCTTCTGTCTCTGCCCTTCCTCGTGGACATCTCTAAATATAGGTTCAATCCCCATAAATTCTCAGTCAAGAATCCATGCTCCCATCCTTGCAAAAAAAAAAAAAAAAAAAATGGAGAATTTCGTTGAGGATGGGCACGTAGAAAGCTTCTGTCTCTACCCTTCCTCATGGACATCTCTAAATATAGGTGGTAGCGAAAGATACTGTGACATTTTGGTCGTTTCCCAAAATAGATATAGTTATAGTTTTTAATTTATTCTTGAAAAAAACTAACGAGCTCGAGGGAGCTTAGGGATTATAATGTTGAGTAGTTGATGATGGGAATGGGTGCAGATATTGACAGGAAAGTCAATGAATGGAGCAATGACGTTCATTTTGATCAACATGATAAAGAGTTTTGGGAACGTTACATACGGACATCTCTTGGATTGCATGCAAGATGCTGTTGAGAAGGCTAACAGACGAGGCTGTGTTGCCTTCACCTTCTTCCGAAGATTGTTTAGATATAAGCAAATTCAGGTCACATTATCACTCTCTACTCTTCCCTCTATTTATTTTCGAAGTAACTCGATTTTAACCTCCAACTTCGAACACATTAATAAAATTAACTCACCAACAAAACAAAGCTCTACTAAGTTCTTGAGGGAGGGAAAAATACAACCATCTAAGAAAAGAAAGAAACGTAATATTATATCACCAAAACTGTAGTTTACGTACAAAATCAAGTGAATCACCAAAACCGTGGTTTACGTACAAAATCGAGTGAAGTCAGTTGATAAAGAGTTTACTCAAAATAATAATAATAATCATAATAATAATAAAGATTTTCTTAAAAAAAAAAAAAAAACCATTTAACTGTTTAAATATTTGCCGTTACAACATAAATTTTTAACGAACGATAGACTAAAATTTGAATAAAACTCAAAGCATCGAAGTAAAATTTAACCACGGAAACATAATGTTTAACTCAAAAGAGTAACATATAAATAAGTTACAAAAGTACTCTAACATTTATTTCATTTTTGTTTGATACAATGCAGGAACCTCTACTCTCGTCGTCAGAGATGTTTGATGTGCACAAGAAAATATTTACATTGTAATTATATTTTACAAACGATACATTTTAAAGCAATAACTCCGAATTGTTTAGAGAAAAATGCCATCTCTCTTAAATATCAGAAGATATAGCATATCCTTCTAAAAGACTTGAAAAGTTTAAAAACGCACCAAATTTATTACTTTACTTACCCTAAAAACAATGTCTACAAGTCGTGTTTCCGAGCCAACTGCAACCGAACGAGTTTGATTAGGAGTAAAAGGCCCTACAAAAGCTTAGAGATAGCTAGTTCTTCCCCCAAATGTAAAGTAAAATTTGGGTGGACATTTAGATTGTTTTGGTACGAGCCGTGCATCTCTCGTTTTTTATCAAAATACGACCAAACAAAAAGAAGGCAAAAAACGACACGTTCGATGTTCTCTTTCAGTTGTTTTGGCACTTGTATGTTCAAGTGTTTTCACCTTTCTTACCAAGAACCTGAGGACAAGTAACTGTTCAAAACTCTTTCATAGGGACTCCATTTTTCCACTATATGACCTCGAATACATTGATGATGGAGAAGTTCCACAATTCAGCTTCCAACTCGAACAAATCGACAAATTCTCTAAACTTTAAACCTGTTCCACAAGCTATTTATATTCTGTTCACAAAATAGAAGAATATCATCAAGCAACAAAATGTGAGAAACTTGTACCTGCTTTCGGACCCGCTCTAAAATCCTCCGACCACATACCTTTTCCACGCCAAGCTCTAATGATCAACTCGAAACATCTCACAGTAGCAAAAAGAAAACAAAAGGAAATATAGGATCTCCATGGAAAACTTTCAAGGTTTTGTGACTAGTCTATGGGAAGAGTTACATTAAAGAGAGAACAAGAACACTAAAGATAGATCAACCCCTTGCTCATTAACTTCTTTGTAGATAGATCTTTTAGATCTACAAATAAATGTATCTTTGAACCTGGAAGAGTAACAACTCGTAATTGGCTAAAAGCTTCAGTAGAATATAAATGAGTTGAAAGCAGAACACAGGATTCCTCTAAAGCATAAGATTTTGACAATGAAACAACTTCATCAATCTTAATATAAAAGAAATAGGCTTTGAAGCATCTCCCTAAAAACAGTCCATCCTTTCTTATCTAAAGCAGTAGGAACATGAACATTATTTCTTCCACCAGAGGAAGGCTAAGTGGCACGTTCAAAGTGCCAACCAGGGGATGATCAAAACTTAAACAAATGAACATTCAAATTATGAGAAACTGCAATAGTTCAACCTATGAATATTCGAAGCAACGTAAGAGAAAGAAAGAGGAATCTTTTGTTTGTTGTACATACTTGATGTGTGATCGACCCGCTCACATTTCAAGAACTCGACCAACAAATCTAGCCCAAACTTTCCTCTTAACGCCAAACTTTTCACCAATCTCTTTCATAGTCACACACACTACCAAAGGTTGTGTCAATGATTTGATCATCAACATCACCCGTGTTTCATCTATCATCCTCCTCCTAACCTTGAGGTTAACAACTATGAGGAACTATAAAGTAGAAAATATAAGAGTTCCACCACCTTATTATCCAATTTTTTCCCTTCTCTGAGAGCTTAACAGTTCATCGTCACTCATAGTCACCTTCACGCCCGCCCCCTCGTATCTCAATTCCTTCTTACAACCTCCCCCCATACTAACCTCTATTGGTGACTCTTTACCCCTTCTCAATAAAGTCTACTCACCTTCTTGCTCCAAGTTTTTTGGGATGTGAACCCCAGCATCTTCTCCTCTTCCCCTTCTAACTTTTTTCGGATAACCAAGATTGGGTTTTGGGGTATTGTCTACAACCTCCTTGGAGAACAAATTGTGTATGGCCAACACTCTCCCAACCAGCAGCCTACGAAAAATGGAGCCATTACCTACACCACCACACTATTATTGGTCACCAAATCTTGATCTCCATCGGAGCGAAGCCACGATAATTTTTCTTTATTTCAATACTAGATTTAAGTTTAGGAGGGTGTCCAATGAAGCTGACCCAAACACTCATGGATAGCAAAAAAACCCTCCAGATTAACCACCTATACTTCTGAAGATATTCTCCCCTAGCATGTGAAGTGGTGACACCCTAAGACCTTACCTACAATAATTCCAATGTATTCAATGTTCAAACAGATGAATTGATGAAGAAGCCACGCTATACCAATTTCCTAAATCCTATTCCTTACTTCACCCCATACCTTGCCTCAAAATAAATTCCGATCATTTCTCTCCAATGTATAAATTCACGTGTTGATTAAGTAGTTTCCTCTCCAATGTATTATAATCAGACTGCTCCCACATGGATAACATTAAAGAATTTATTCCAGTTACTTCAACAAAAGCAATCATAAAGCTTCTTCAAAATAATGGGATGTTCTGTATATGACAAAGATGCATAATTTTGGGCATATATACTAGTATATTGTAAATCCATCCTGACAGAGAAAAACAGAAATTTGCAATGAAGAACAAACATCTACAAAAATGAAATACAGATTTAAAATGGAAAGCTTTCCTGACCAGAAATTGTAGAGAACTTCATTCAGTAGGATGTATCTGTAACTACACAGTTAGAATGGTAAGTTCTGCTGAACTGAAATTGTTGAGAGCTTCATAAGATGGACTAATACTGATCAGATACACGCCTTGGAGGAAGTTTTATCAGTATAAGGAACCAATGCCGATGGAACAAACTCTACCAACTGCAGCAGCATGCACGTTGACATATGTAATCTTCTGGGCATGTTTTGTTTTTGGCTGAAAGAACTACTTTTGGATGAAATTAGAAGGGATACTAGTATATCTAGCCAAACAGACGATAACAGAAATCTGTAATCGAAATCCTATACAACAAACGTCATCTACACATAGTAAAATACACAATTAGAGTGGAAACCTCTGCTGACATAAAACTGTTTAGAGCTTCATTCAATGGGGTGATACCGATCAGATATACGCCTCGGAGGAAGTTTCCTCAGTATAAACAGAACTAATGCTGAAGGAACAACCTCTACCAACTGCAGTAGCAAGCACATCAAATTTATCAGAGAGAAGAAAAACTATAAATAAATTAAAAGATGAAAATGGAAAGTTTGCTCCAGTGGTAAGCTAACAAGATCATAGAAACAAATAAGAACTTTCATGATTAGAAAGTTTGGTGCGAGCTCGATGCCTAGGCATTCAATGACTGTTTTGAAGCCCAAATTGAAGCACGAGAGGAGAGGAAAGAAGAGAGTTTAGTGTGTGGCTGTAGCACAACAGCAGGTGGCTTGGGAGCTCAATGCCTAGGCGCCACCCTAGCACTGAAGCACCTACTTTAAGGCACAATTTTATTTCAAGGTGCCTTGGAGCTGACAATACTTTCTTTGTAAACACTAACCATAAAATGGCTTTTTTTGTGGTAGCCAATATATATGCATCAGCAGCCACGTAGACACCTATGAGAACTCTTCACATGGTCAGTGTTAAGAGTGAAGGTAAAGCTTTTTGTGAGCATAGGAACAAGCATGTCTCTCTTATTCTGTTCAAGGTGAACCAGTACAACGTTGGCATTGTGTCTTTTTCTTTATTTTTATTTTTATTGTCTATATATCATTGTTTTCGTACCATCCTGCGATGCACCTTGGAAGGGGAACTTTGATGGTTAGGAGCACCCAAAAAACATTATCAATTGAAAAAAATGGTAACAAAAGAACTATGAAGGTCAAGCTTCCATTAAGACATCCGCTTCTTCCCTTGAGATCAAAGGTTCAAATCCGCTCTTTGTTGTACTAAAAACAAGAACTATGAAGGACGGAAAGGAATTCTCATGCAATACTTTCCAAAGGGAAAAGGACAATCTAATAAGCACAAACACTTTCATTTTTGGTCCAGTGTCCATGTCAAACATGTGTCGGTCTGGATACTTCTGGACACGTACGATATGCTGTTTATGTACCTTTTTCATTCTAATGTCCTAAAGGTGTTGGCATCCTGCCATGTCCGTGTCCCATGCCCATATCTGTGCTTCTTAGAGAACAATCCATGAAAAAAATATTGAAGACAGAAAAAAATTCAAGACTGGTTGTGAAGGCTCCAAGATAAATAAAATATCCTTTGGATAACCTCTCACCTAAGTGAAGATCAATTTATTTGAGCTATGTTTGATCTGAAAATTATTTTAATTTGGAAGTCGAGCAACATCATGGAGTGACAAAAAGGGAAGAGACTTCAATGGAGCAACTCTATGAATTCCATGCCTGGGGGAAGAAAATTAAAAACTAGGGTTGAAAATTGATTACAAGACCATCATCCACAGAATGTGCAGGATCCATGATGTGGATGTATGAAAACTCCAAATGACTGCAGTGTGCACTTATAATAAATTGATACCCTGCTAAAGAAAGTTTTTGACAGATTCTGGATTAAACAGAAAGTTGGAGCGCCCATTACTTTTTTGAGTTTAAGCTACTTCATAATTATATTTGGAAATTTTTCTCGTGGATTTTTTCTCCCTGTAAAAGGATAAGTTAGATTTAATGTTTCATTAAGTGGAGAAAAAAAATTTAGCCAACGGCCCTACCAATCCCAGCAAATAGAATCATTTAACAAAAAAAGAATAATCTATTCATCTTAGAAAAGATATTAGGGGATTTTAAAACTTGCCATGTAGTATATCAGGTTGAGAATGGGATGATCTAGGACGTCAAGATCTGAATCCTTGTCAAATGCAGAGAAGGCAAGCTACAAGATGAACAAATATACATGTGTATTAATTGCTTAAATAATGTCGGATCAAGATTGCCTTTACCAAAAGGAAACTCACCACAAAACACCGTATAAAGAAACAGGTAAAACAAATTGTTGTCACACAACCAACCTGCACAGACAGAGAAAGAAAGAAATTAACAAGAGCGTCAGAAAATCTTGATCTTTCAAAAGGCTAAATTCATGATTGATCCCTGAAATATACACTCTTCCTTAATTATGGCCTTGATGCTTTAAAAGTTCTATCTCATTCCAATTTTTCAAACAAATCCTTGTTGACATTGAATAGTGGAACAGTGGCATAGCATTTAAAATATCTTAT